CTGGATAAACTCAATTTGTGTGCATGTCTGCTGCAGAGTACAGCTCATTTTACTGTGAAAATGAGGCTGCCCTTCTTGCTTTGCCAGCTCTGTGTTCCCTCAGTAATTGTCCACACCAGTCACAGTGACAGTGTATATTGCCATGAATTTAAACTCATTGTTTTGAGTAGCAAAGCTTGTGGAGCCATGTTCCAGTAGCGTTAGTGGGCTGGCTACCTGACTTGTTGCATCATAGACAAATATGACAACTCTTTCTAGCTCTGTATGTTTACTACTCTCTGTTCTCCCATAGTTACTCCAGAGCAGTTAATTTTGACTTGAGGGGTCTGCAGACTAATAAAGCAGGACTTCTGTGCTCGCACCTCAGTAAATGGTCAACTGGCATGGTTAGTCACCATGACCAGAAGATTATTTTGCCTTGTGATAACTTGTGGTCCTGTGAGCTATGCTCTGTTCTACCCCGTTATAACCCTTTCATCAATTAGAACTGTGTAGTAATAGATCTGAGTGTAGGCTCCAGACCAAATGAGGTGGTAGCTGAGGCTCTCGCTTCAACCAGAACTGTTCAGAGAGTCTTCCCTATGTGTTCTATGCAAGCACTCACAGAATGCAGTCATTTTGGCAGTGTCTTAAGAATCAGTTTGCTGTTGCATATGCATGGAGAACAGCTGTCCTTCTCCTGTCTAATGACCTTTATATAGAACAAAACATAATCAGTGGGTATTAACCATTAATAAAATTTCTGGTATCACGTTAAAAAGGGTTGAGCATATTTGTGCATAAATATTTAAAGATGTCCTTATTGTCCTTATTTTAAATGTCGTCTTGTACCAAGTTTTTAAATAAAAAGCCTTTCTTTCCAGCTGGTAGTTGTCCAGAGCGTTTTCGCATGCTATTCATTGGAACTCTCTGAAACGGAGTATTATGGATTTAGACATGTGCATGTGCTTTTAAGTGTACAGAGTTTTCTTGGGAAGCCATCACATGAGTAAATCATAATGCTCATTGACATGAGAATTCTCTCACTATTTCTCACTTCTGCATTAAGAGTTCAAAATTTGTTCTGATTTTGTGATATCATAAGGAGGAGTTTTATCCCCTTGTCTATGTAATCACCACTTGTTCCAAAGAAGTCACGTAATACATTGAACTTCAACACATTTGTTTCACTGCTGAAGTAAATGCTCAGTCCTTCAAATGTTGAATAAAGGTTCTGATATATTAAATTTCTTTCACCAGTGTGTTTTTTAGAATGAAGAGTTATATATGAGATGCAGACAATTTTGATTGGTTACTGTTATCTGTTACTGGTCTGAAGAGAGGCCAACATTTTTTTAGTGTTTTTTGAGATGCTAACATGTTAATCTAGCTCTGATGTGTTAGTGGCATTGCAAAGAACTGTTGTAAAAAAAAAAAAAAACAAAGAAAACACCCAAAAAACACCACAAAACAAAAAAGCCCACCACAGCACAAAAAACAACAAATCCCACACCTCCCAAAAAAAAGAGAAAATCAAAGTCTTTAATTCTATACTTTATGATTTTTTTTTTGTCCTAGCTACAGACTTTAGAAAATATCAATTCATCTTGTCATATGTGCTACAGTAGAACCCAGTGCTTATTTATTGTTACAAAAACAAGTGAAGTAAAAATGCCGTCATGTTCTTAGTTGGTATTCTAACACTATATCCTATAGGAATAGAAGTGGTTACTTTTGCTGATTGAACCATTATGTCCCTTCCTAACCTTCTTTTGTAATTTTTGAAATGTCTATTTTTTATCATCCCTAAGATAAAGAGATTGTTAGAATACTTGATATTTGTAATTACGCAGAACCTTTCATGTGAGGAAAACTACTGTTGGACTGAGTTTAAATGCATCATCTTTCCCCATAACTTCAGGGATTTCAGCCTTGTTCATCTCAAGACACGTTGGCTTTTCACTTGTGATGCATTCCTGATGTTCAGGTACTTGCTGTCTATGCTGTCTACTGCAGCTGAAATGCAGCAGAGCCGTTATTAGAAATAATAGAATATTTTCTATGTGTGCATTTGTTCCAGACAAACATGGTGTAGCTTGAACCTCCTTGGGGCTTCTGAGTGCCGTTGCAGTAAACATTGCTTGTTGTGTTCTGTGGGTGGGGAAATTGGAAGATTCTGATAAATGCCATCAAGGAATTCCTTCTGAGAGGTGTCATTGATGTGAGAAGGATAGCAACTAGATGTGCTTCGATTAAAAACATAAGTCCATGAAGAACATGGCATTGTATTTCCCTTCTCTACTATAAAGAGCCTGAGTCTCTTGTGGCTGGCTGACTGAATATGGTAGCCACGTGGGGGTAGGTTCTACCCCTTGCTGTGAGTCTCCATAAGAAAAACCCTACATTTTTTGACTAAGCAAGGGAACAGTAACTTCACCCTTTATTAGAATAGCTTACTTGCAGTTTTAGAGATGGCATTTGAAAACTGTTTTGCTGAAATACCAAATGTTGTTTTTCTACTCAGAAGCCACAAAGAAACCTACCTTATAGAGATGAAAGAAAAAACGTGTTAAAACAACATTTAGCTTGTTTTGAGCCAAGCAGATTGTCTTGCAGTTCAGGCTTCTAAACCAGGCCGTAACACCAGTGATGTGAAAATCTGTGTTTGGAAACTGTTTAGATATTGGGATTTTTTTTTTTTTTTCTCAGTCTTTAAAATAGCAAAAAGATTTTTCTGTGAAATAACTTCTACCTGAGCATGTGAGAAAACAGTGTTCACCTGTCTTCCAGCCTACTTTGTACAAGTGACCTAGCAAGTGTGGTTGATCAGCATTTATGAAGTGTGAACACCTCTTTTCTCCAATCGTAGTTCAAGTGCTGTATTCAAGTTGTATTTTGCATTTAAGTGGAGCGTAACAGAGTGGGAAGAAGGGATATGCATCGAAAGAAGTTCTTTAAGAACTGACATTATTAAAATATAAAGAAATAAATACAAACTTTCGTAGAAAAGTATTACAAGGCAAATCAAAAATCAGGCCAGTTTGGAGCTTTCTGAGGCTGCAGTGATTCATTTAAAAATACGCATTGTGTTCAGGACAGTTGTTTAGTCAACAGATGTGGTAATGAGAAGATGCGTTTGGCAGTGCATTTGTATGTACTTGAGTAAGAAGCTGTAACACACACTTACACATGGCTATTTATCCACAGAAAGGAAAAAAAGTAATCCAAGAATGTGTGGGACAACAACAGGAGGATATGAGGACCTGTAAAATTTTCAAACTCTTACAGAAACTCACAAAAAAACAAAACCTTTTTTCCTTAAACTCCTGTTGCTGTGAATGGCTCCACTGATTTCAGCAAATTTTGACAGAACACAAAGGAATTACAACATGTGCAAATAATAAATCTCCCTGTTCAAGAACTTTAACTCTTCTCTCCCTAAACTTTAGCATGTGTGATGGCATCATTTTCTGTGTAGAGAAAGGGCGAGGTTAAGCTATTGACTTTGGCTGTATGTAAATTTATGTTGGCATGAAATATGCAGCAGAGAGGTGGGAGAGGTTTCAGTATCTTTTCCAAATGGCATAGCTGTTTCTTACACTCCATTCCCATACCCTCCCCAGAAAAGTTTTACTTCTCTTCATTTTCTCTCACTGAGTGACTCATCTCCTCATTCTATCTTTCCATCCCCTTGTCCCTCCCAGTTTAATTTGGATTCTGGTATATGTTGTTCTTCTTCAGCTCTGTGGCAGTTCATACTCTGCTGCGGTGACGACGATACCCAGTTCCAACAAAAATAACACTTAAGAAAGCTGGGTTTGTCACAGCTACTGTAACTCACTTGAGCACAAATGACTTAGAATTGGCAGTGACTGCTGGATTGTTAATTGAATGCTTTAGTGATAAAAAAATAAAAATCAGAGAGTATATATGTTTGTAATTACTCAGATTTGTGAAATACTTAAACAGTTGAGAGGAGCGCCTTGTGAAGAGCGTGTAATGAGCCTATGAATGAATCAGATTCGTTTTAACCACGCAATGTTATTTCTATGCAAGTGCTTTTCCTGCTGTTTTTTCTTTGCTGCCCATCTACATTGGATGTCTTCAGTTTCTTACTCTCTCTTCCTTGAGGTCTGATGCCAACTTGGTAATTGTGAACTTGACAGGTTTTAAAAGAAACTCTTGTCTCTTAATTAAATAGACCTTGTTTTCTTGTTAAAGAGAGATAAGTCCATGGCACATGCTTTTATGAAAAGAAATAAATCACAGATAATAATGACAACAGCAATAAGACTCCTAAATCACTCGCAGTGTCCACAATTTTGACACCCACAAATGTCAGTTAACCTTGGCAGTGAAACTGAATTAGTTTTTTCAAAGCATAGGCTACTTGATATGGCTCAACCCTAATTTTGGTTTAGGCAGCAAGTTTGGATGTTAAAATACATGGATAGCATTAATTAAGATGAGGATGCTAAAGTCTTAATGACCATTCTGAGGTGAGAAGACTACCCCATATGGTGGCATGGTAATTGTGACAAGACAGACACTAGTGACACTATAAGACAAAATTTTTGGAGCTGTTTCTTACCACACCATGATAGCAGATAATAATGCATGGAAAATATGTTGCAGTACTCCTTTGCCATTGCACTGCAGATACTAACAGGTATGGTGCGAGTGCTTTTAACTAACCAAAAGCTCGTTTTCCTGCTTCCTTTTGAGAACTGATGCAAATTAAACTGTATATGTAGGAAAAACAGCAGCGTGTGCATGCGCTTCTATGTTTGTAATTGCCCTATGAACTTTTTGCAAAATGTAGTAAATGGAGGGAAAAAAAATGGTCAATTAATGGACACTAAGATTTTTCTTTTTAAAGACCGGGCACTATTTAATCTCTTGTTTCTTGAATTTTAGAAAGGAATGCCTCGTTGTCTGCATCTTGCTTTCCTATATGTAGCACCTCTGCCTAATAATTATTTGTTTTTTAAAAAAATATTGGTTTTCTTTTTTGCTTGTAGGATGGTCGTTTGCGAGTAAATGATCAGCTTGTTGCGGTAAATGGGGAGTCGCTTCTGGGCAAGTCGAATCATGAGGCTATGGAAACACTGAGGCGCTCCATGTCCATGGAGGGGAACATTCGTGGGAGGATCCAGCTGGTAGTTCTCCGGAGACTAGAGGTGCAGACAGAGGTGAAGCAGTAAATGCATTTATTAGATAAATGTCTTTCCAGTCCCAATGTTTTTGCACACAAGAGATGATGGCTAAAGTGTTGGTCACAGAGAGCTCTTCCTGGCAGAATGAATTCGTGACTTCCTGGGGTCAGGATTCACACAGGAATTCAAGGAATTAACATTTTACTTTGCCTGACCAGATGAAGGCCACCCCTTCAGGATGGGTTTCTGAGTTGATTACCATAAAACTTGTTTCAGTAAGGTAACAAAATAAGAGAATAAAGAGATTTTAATGGTTGTGTTTTCTAGACCTCATATAAATTGATGTTTGCCAATGGCCTCTTATTTAGAAAAGGATTGGTGTTATGATCTCTCTTGCTCCCTGTCTTTCATGTATGCATGCATGCACATATGCACACTCTATTTTCACGTTTACATAGATAATATGTATGTATGTATGTATACTGGCTGCCCTTACTACTTGCCCCAGTTTGAATTTTGACCCTTGAATAAATGTTTTAATAGTTTTTCAACATCTCTACAGTTCCTTAAAATAAAAATACATAGAAGTGGATTTGTGGTATAAAAGGTTGTAGTAAATCCTATTATAGAATTCCAAGAGATGATTTCAAGCTGCTTCTTTAATAAGCATTGCTGGAACATTTTAAAATGTTAAGAACAATCATGTTTGTGGATGTATTTGCATAAAATATCAGAGGGGAGAAGAGAATACAGGTATCATTTAGTATAATTAACTCTTAATGTTTTCGTGATAATTTTCTATTTGATTTACTATGATCACTGGTTGATTGAGAAATAGATTTAGAAGTATATTACTTACCAAACATTATGCTCTAACTTTGTTGGGAGGACACTTTGCAAAAGCTTCAATGATGTCGATTGTGCCAGAAAAATATGAAAAATACTCATTAGCAATTCTGGAATATGTTAGAGGAAAACACAATTTTGCTTTCCATTTCTATGTGACATAGCACTGTGCTGTAAGGAAGAGTTATAAAGTATGTGTTAATGTTTATTGTGCATGCTTCTGACATAAGAAAGATAGCTCACCTTCAAATAAAGCCCATCCTACAAGTTTTTTTCATTTAACAGAAGCCAAGATTTTTTTAAATATCTTCCAGACTCCAGACTGACCTAACAAAAGTATGATGCTGCTTTTTATAGTTTATGGTATAGTTCTGTATGATATCCAGATGTATGAAAGAGGTAAATAATCTTGACTCATGCCCTATGAAGAATGCATAACGTGGTCTTGATTGAATCAAATTCACTTTAGACAGGAATTAATTTTTATAGGGTAGTCTTTAGGTTCAATTGTAATTCTATTTGAGTCTGGAGACCATGGCAGAAATGGGCTGTTGCCCGTTCTTCCCTTTCCCCCGAACGGCTTCCTGAGTACTGTGCCTTAGCTTGGTAGAAGGAGAATACGTTTAGAAATGCATTATTGTTTTTATTGGTCAGGACACTAATGGAGGTCTTCCACGACAGCTATGTTTTATAAGCTGAATACTCTAATTAGGCTGGTTGCTGATCAGTTGTTGGGCTATTGATTTTGTCATTTATCAAAGAGCTGGAAAAGCAGATTTGTTGTTGCTGATCCCACTGGGTACAAGTCTCCAATGCAGCAGTAGTTTGGATGTTGCAAGGCTTAATTTAGCTGGCAGTATCCATGAAAAAGTAGTAAATGTGGACCTTGCACATAAGGAATCTTACGTAAACTGAAGAATTTTCAGTAACGAGAAGAACCAGAATTGACAGTGGTTGTGTGGTGTGCGTGTTTCTGTAAAGAGATTCAAAATAGCCTTGGCAAATGGCTCACGCTGCACTGAGGAGGAGGAGAGAATGTTGCATGTGTTGCCTGTCCACTAAGACGACATTTGTAGCCATATTGTCACCATGAGCATCCCAGCACTGATTTGTGTTCTGAGGTGCATTTTTTGACATTGTATTGGTTTTTTAGTGTTGTTATTCTATCATAGTTTTATTATTTTATTATTAAGTTATTTTTATCATTTATTATTCTATTAAGCTTGAAAGGCAGGTTGCAAGGTGATGTAACATGCTGTCCTTTTCTTACGCGTTGGTTTGTGGGTAATTACTTGCCAATGCGTGAAACCTTTTGCATCATTTCGCAACGAAATTATATGAGTTAGATACAAGCATTTCTTCTGTAGACGTGACTATGAAATTTAAGGAATGATATATTTAGTGTAACATTTGCTGGCATAATGAATATGCACTTTAAAAATAGAAGCTAGTTGGAGCCCCCTTCAAAAAACAGATACAAAATCACAGAAACTATAAAGGTTATTTTGAAAACTAGCCATAATATTCCCCTGTATGGGTTTTCTGTCTTGCCTGAAAGAGTACAGAAACGTCTTTCTAGGTCTGTCCCAGTTTTAGAAACCGATTTTTTTTTTTTTCCCCTCTTTTATTTTTTTAGCAACTGCTCAGGAGAATAAATTAGGCGATACCGCGTGTAGCGGGGGGCGGAATGTCTCAAAAGAAGAGCTGACTGGAGGTGTGACAGGAGTTTGCTTAGCTGCTAGCCAGAAGACCTGCATTTGGGAGTTTGGTGTAACTCCTTACTTGCAAAACTGCGCTAGTGTGTGATCGTCAGAACATATGCACTCAGTCTCTGAGAGAAGGGAACCAGCTGGCTGGCAGAAAAATACCATTGGCATTGCCCGTGTTCTTGTGTTGACAATGTCACAAGCTGCCCTCCCAGATGGAGAATTTGAATGAAGCCAGTTGTGGGTCATAAAAAACCCCAGTCTTCATTTTTATACGTCATTCTTAATGATCATTACTGCTCGGATATCGTCTTACTTCATGGTCAGCAAAAACAGAGAGTAATTTTGAAGATATCTTTCAAGTTTCTCATTTGAAAGGAAGCCAGTGTACAATGAGCATTACATTACGCTGTATTTGTGCGCTATCTGTAGTGATGGCTGATCTTCTGCATTGCTGAGCTTTTAATTTTTTTGTAACAATGTGTGGTTCTGTTTTTCCCTAAGGAACGCTCGGACCAGGGAGTCTTTCAAAAATCAGCCTTTGACAGGAGTCATAATTGCACAGCTACTTCCCGACACAATGATACGATTCTTCAGCAATTTGTAACGTGCAGTGCTCAGGAAAGAATAAAAGGTAGTCTCTAGCTATCCTTCTCTGTGCTGAAAGTGCTTCGTGTTTTGTTTTTTGAAATCCACAGCCACTAGAAAAGCAGTTAATTAGAGTAAGTGCACACTGTGTTACTCTGAGTCTTGAAAATCCAGCGAGGGTGGGAGAGCTGACTCAGAAGTTGTGAATTAGATTCCTGGCACAAATTCCAGTTTAAGTAACAGTTTCTAGCTCGCTGCCCCAACACGTAAGGTTGGATAAAAAACAAATCATGAGTGCAAAATATATGTTGTCAAAATGTTTATTTTCTATATATCTTTAATGAGTGCAGTGATTTTTGCATTGAGTTCTTAGATTATGTCCCAGGTTGTTACGAGCTAAATGAATTTATACAAAAGTGTGATATTCATAAAGTACACTTGCTTGCTTATTTTAGACTTAAAGGTAAACTTTGTTCAAAGGTTAGAAACATTCCCTTAATTTACAAATTGGAATGATATTAATGAGCTCATTAAAAAAAATGAGAGATGTACATTGTACAAAGAAAACCTACATGTATGAGCATATGCAAGCATATAAGAGCTTTTAAGACCACTTACTTTCCTGTTGTCTTTTATTTCTGATAGCATGCTGTACTATCTGTCCAATTTGCACCTGACTCAGCAAGATAATAGTGATTTGAAAAATTTAAGTATTTGAGATGGTCTTGACCCCTATCCTTTTAAGAGTGCTCTTATCCTTCAAGCCAAGCACATACTTAAATATCTTCCAGTAGGAAAGAAAGATTTTCTTTGATGTCGTTGAATTATGCATGATTTTTCCCACTTCCCTAGACAACTGGGGAGTCTCTGTGGCCTACAAAAAGTAATTTCTTAGGCTGCTGTGATGACTGTGTGGAGCACTTTTAACCAAAACCAAGCAGCTGGTATATGTAAACCTCAAGAGAAACTCCCATATAATTTAGGGGTAAATATTTGTGTTGACTTCTATATTTGGACAATGTGACTCCAGGCAAATAAATAGATATAGACTCAAGCATTGTAAATACTCGAAGATCAGATCCTTTTGTTTAGATCTACCTTATATTTCTCTTGTATGGAATTTACACAGATTCTGTAGTCACAGGAGAAAAAGGTCATCTGCGGAGTAGAGGTAGCCATTGCCAAAGGATCAGAAAGCAGCAAATACCTTTAAATACTTGCTTAAAAAACATACAAGCAAGTGCTCTGGAGCCGTTGATACAGGTGAATGGCAACAGGTAACTTGTCACTTAAATAAAGTTAAAAACAAAATCTGTGGAAGAGCTGTAATCTCAGATAAGGATTCTCCAACTGGGACCCAAAAATCAGGATGACTAGTTTGTAGCTCATTGATAAAATCATTCTCAGTATACATCTTTTTAATTAAAGAATGATGATAAGAAGGTGTTATAGCAAAAAAAAATGTGATGGCCTCAAGAGAATGCGTGTCAGATGTGGGAAGGAGGCTCTGGAGTGCTGCTGAGGGCTGTTGTCAGGCAGGGTTTGGCATGGCTGGGGCTTCCCAGCCATGGCCTGGGAGCAGTTTGGGGTTTAAGTCAGTGGCCAACAGATGACGAAGATGTTTCTAGCACTTACTAGAGGTATCATTGTATCGCGATTTTCTGTTGAAGATTCGACATCTGATGGGTAAAATTTAAGTGATCTTAATGGAGAACTTGCACAGATACTTTCTGCATCTGAAATTTTACCCATCAGGGCTCTGATCTGAAATTTTCTTGGTGGAACACACTTTGGGTTTCCAGTAGTCCTGCACATTGTAGAAATCTTTCTCTAATTTTGAAGTCAGAGTATTTATTATTGAGCTAATAGTCATTCTGCTTTCCATTTGAGCTTGTCACTTATTTCCAGACACTGGTTCAAACTTTTTTGCGTAGTTTCTTATGAAGTTTTGTCCTCAGTCTTTCAAGGCATCTGTAAAGGGAAAACACTACACCTACGCACAACACCCCTTTAACTCTGTTCTGAACTTTAGGTTGTGTGTCTGTTTAAGGACGTGAGTCACAGACATGATGAGCTGCTTGTGACAGGCAGGAACAGTCCCTTCCACATTGTTATGGTGTGATATCCAGATCTTGTATCTAGAAGTATGGTTGGTACATTTTTACAAAGAATAATAAAAGATAGAAGAGATTTTTCACATAATACAGGATCTAATGTAAGAATTTAATGACAGGAGCTGTATTACATTTAATAAAATGTCACTTTCTCAATTAATATTTTCTAATAAGTTATTTCCAGTATCATTCACTGCTCCTACCAATAACATTCTTATAAAAGCTCAGCAAAAATACACTGAAGCTTGGTCTGCTAATATTGCTGTCTGTTTTATATACATGAGCAAGAAAAACTAATGTCTTGGGAAAAGTGGTTATAGCCAAGACATTACATTTTGTCTTGCCTGTGGAGATTTAAATAAAGGGGGGGGATACTGATCCAATATTGAAATGACGTTGTTTGTTCTATTTTTGCATGAATAATACGTGCTGCCTTCAGGTCCTCACTTCTTTTGCTGCCAAGCTGTTGCACAGACTCAGTGTTTTTTAGAACAACCTCTCTGAGAATTGATAACAGTGCCAGCAGCTTTACATTTCTGGTGTTGAAGGATTACTGGAATGTGTTTCATTAGAGGTTCTGATATATTTCTTATAACCCTATATTATAAATGATTATGGGGAAATGCTGTCATCTTTCTGGTTAAGTAGTAGAATAATAATAAACTCTCTCTAGTATCATAGACTGCTGAGTCTTTGTGGTTGTGCTAGCAGCTCTTTTTTCATATGTGTGTGGTAACATCAAGACAGAAAATTAAGTATTGAAATTTTAAATTAATGTTTAAATTTTGCTTGTAAACAGTACCTGTATCTTATAGACAGACTCAATTATTTACTCTCCTAACCGGTTTAATATCTGAAAATTCAGTACATTTTGCTTAGTGACTTAGCTGTTCCTCTGATCTCACTCGATCTGTGAAGATAATTTCCTGAAGTCTTGAACGTGGAGCCAGTGACTGCCTCTTAGGTTAAGTTCTCGCACTCTTGCTCCTGCTCTCATTTTGCTGGAAGCTGTAGTCCCTTGTGATCATTTCCCATTCGCTCAGGAAGGCTGACATTTTTCTGTGTGTACCGTTTGTGTACTGCAAGGAAAATGCCAGTGGTAACCCATCACTGAACAGCCTTTGTGAAATGACGTATCAATTACTGTGAATCAAAGTTAATGTAACTACCTGATACGCTCAATCTCTCCAGCTATGGCTATCGGAGGCCCCTCGAAGAGGGTAAGGCACAGTGCAGGGTGTGGTGTCTGGTTCGTTTTTTTTTTTTCTTCTTCCTTTCCCCTCTTCCTCCCTCAGGCATCTGTTTCCTACTTTGGGTCGTCAGTCGTTTAGGGACTTCCTAAATCAGAGATTCTGTCTGGACCATTGTGCCATTGGTACCTTTCTAACTTTTAGTCCGCTTCTTAGCATTTTCTTAAAAATAGGTTTCCAAAGTGTCCTCATGGCAATGAGTTCCATGATTTAATTGCACAGGAAAAAATACTGCTTTGTGTTTGTCCGAAGTGTGCTGCTTGATAGTTACACTGCGTGCCTTCTAGTTGCTGTGTGTGAGACAGATAGTGAGAGCTTCCTTTTCACCTTATGTGTACCTTTTACAATTTCATAGACTCCTCTTGTATACCCTTTTAATGCAGTGTATTCGAAACCAAAGCATCCTAGTCCATGTTCTTTCTAGGAGTGTTTCTGCATGTGTCCAACTACCCTTGCCACCTTTTCAATATGTTTCTGAATTATATTACATCCTTTTTCGGATAGGAAAAATGAAACCTTAGATGCTATTTAAAAACTAGGCACACGATTAACTCAGAGTTCTAGGTGGAGTGTTTGGATTTTCTCTGAATCTCTGTTTCCTTTTGACATCACTAAGCAGATGTTCAAAGAGCGATCCAGTACACTTCTGTTGTGTTATTCCTGAGAGGTAATTGCTAAAGTAATAGCCTTTGTGTACATGTCAAGAGTTTTCCCCTACTCCCGTGTGTATCGGTTTGCAGTCACTGACAGGGAATTTCGCTGCATTTCCTATTTACTTAATATCCTGTAGTTTTTTTGCAGAGCTTCATAGTCTGCTTGGTTTTGATAGTTCTGAGTGCTTTTACATAAGTAAATTTTTTCATCTTCTGATTCATCTCAGATCATTTAATTACATTGAACAGTACAAGTTTCCCTTTGTTCTAAATTCTTTTTACCGTGAGAGCTTGCCCTTTACTCCTTGTTTCTGTTTTCTGTCCCTAAATTGCAACCTGAAAGAATGTGATCATAATGCAGGAAGCCAGTGTGCGTGTGTTAGGTGGCATACCTGGTTTTGCATCAGACTGGCAATCAATATTTTTTAAGGTCTTGTTAGAATTTTTCTCCTCATCTGCTCACCTTCACTTTTTCATGGTGATGTTCTCACCCTTCTGGAGATACAGGGTTTGAAGTATTTCTTAACTTTCTGATCTTTAGGAGGCTATCAAGCCAACAGGAGTTTTATAGGATTCTTGAGCTAATAGTGTGATTTTGTTGAGGGTTTTTTTGTTTGTTTGCTTTTAGGGAGCTATCTCAGTGCTCTTAATCTAATAAATATAATCTATCACTGTCCGCCTTGATCCCCTCCTTCTAAGCCTTTTATCTCGAGTTAGATCAGTACTTTCAGGCAGGATTGTTCAAAAAGGCTAGCGACATTCAGTGCCACAGAACAGGTCCCATCAAAGTGTGGTATGTCAGTATTGTTTTGGAGGGGTGAAGACGTGTTCTGCATTGAAAAATGTAGGGACTTTTCCTAAGATTAGACCTTTAGATTGAGAGGTGAATTTACAGGACAATAATGAAGTGGCCTACAACAGGCGCAGCAGTCTCATTAAATACTGCAGGTATGTAAGTGTTGTTGCTTAGCAAACCACTGAATGATTTGAGTAGTTCATGTCTGTCTTTGTCTAAAGTAATTTTCTGGTGTGAGTCGAATGCCTTTTGTAAAGGTAGAGAAGGAGTTACCGTAATGGTAGGAAAATGAAGACTCTTTCTTTTCTTGCCATAGGATAACAGAAATTTTTCTTCTGAGCAGAGAATGTGGTTCTCTTTTGTACGTGAAAGGTGGTTAAATGCTCCCCACCAAAGGGAATCAAAGCGTGAACCTACAGTCAGTTAGGATGCAGCTATGCAGAAGTGAAAATCCACTCAAATGGAGTAAAGCAATTTGTGCCTTGCACTCAACTTCACTATAAGCACAAAGTGTCCCTATATTTATCTTTAATTATGCATATGCAAGTCTGAAAATCAGATCTTCAGGAAATCCCAAGGGATATATTTTCTGCTTGGTGTGATTCTAATTCTAGTTTAGTTAGTTTAGGGATTTGAATAATTTGTGGCTCACTTCAGCATTGCTTGAGGCCTTCCAGTCCAGTCATTGATCAGTGAACTGGTGTAATGTACTTGTTTCTATGGCTTTTTTAACCCGCTTTAAAATTTTATTTCAGAGTTGCCAGTGTCTGATTGTAGCAATGGTGAAAACGAAACCCCTCCACCTCTCCCACCACATCCCAGTGGGGATCTGCTGAATGAGGATTATAATCACAGGTTGGACTTCAGCTGTTCTTAGTAGTTACAGCCCTAATGGCTCATTAGTGGTTGTGATAGTAGTTCTAATTGATTTTAAAATCACTTTTTATTTTGTAAAAATTTGTGCCGCCATTTTTAGCCAACTGCATGATCCTTTAATATGAGCTGGGAATGTTACTTTAGCATTTAGTGGATTGTTCATTTCAGTTGCTTATAAGCTGCAGTACGCCTGCTGTCCATGATATATGGATCACAATACCCAACATGTGTTCAATAAAACAAAAGAATCCCCAAACAATCCCAATTTTAAAAAAAAGTTAATTTAAAACTATACCAGTCAATTTAAAACTGTGTGTAGATGCAGTGCCTGAGGTCTCTTAAAGCTTTAAAAGTCCAAGCCAAATTCAGTTGGTAGGAAACTGAATCTTCTTATGCAGTATGTCAGCTAAAGACATTCTTGAGGTTACAGAATAAACCTGCAGTAAGTTTGAACATTGAAATGTGTAGGGAAGAAATCAAGGGACACTTTACCAGTTGTAAATGCATTGAGTAGATTTTTCAGATATTTTAAGAATAGCTTTTGTAAAGGCTGGTGTGCTTGATGGCAGCTACAAGCGTTAATTTCCTTAGTAAATATGGAAGTTTAGAAGTGCAGAAAAAAGTGTAAACATGTTGAAGTTCATGATGGCAGATACATTCACTGTCTTGGGTAACACAGGATTCAAATGAAAGCATCATTTCAACCTGCCGTACTTCTGATGCTGAAAATTCAGTATTGAACACTGTTTACTCATTTTGTTTGTACTCAGTTTTGAACAGTCATGCAACTGTTCTGTTGCAATGATATTAGGAAAGTATGGATTTCAACTAAAAACTTAGCCATACTTCTGCCCTTATGTGCATGGCTGTTATTAAAAACTACCCTTTAAATGACTGGGTGCACATAGTATTGAAGAGTAGATATATTTTATTATGCATACCTTAAATTATGCATACAATGAAGGCTCTTGTAACCATTTTCTTTTTGCTGAGTAATTTCACTAGAGTCTCCCAGGTGGGTATGCATGACATGGTAAACAAACAAAAGTCTACACCGACTAATGGAACTCAGCATTAAATTCTCAGCTGCAGTTGTTTGCTAGAATGCCTTCCCAATTTTTCACCAAGCTGGGAGCAATAACATTCTCTTAAATGATAATGATGTATTAAAATTATGATGACTTAACAGGTCCTTCTCCCACCCTGCAGTGTTGTATTGGTTTTCCATTTGGAACTTACGTTCTGTTGAAATTGAACTGATGTGTCAAGTCACACTGATTTCACTGAAATTGTGTTGCATCAAAAAACTCTTTTGACACTGTAAAACCAAACCTTTTGACTGAACAGATAGGAAATAAATGTTTTTGGTTTTGGAGCTGCTTTTTTGTTTTAGAGTATTTTAAAAAAAATTGTGCTTCTCACTGGAGAGGGACGCAGAAGATTTCAGATGCATTGCAGTGAGGAGTTTTTGACTCCTCACAGGTGAAAGTTACTTTGAGTTTCACTCAGATGGAATTTTGAAATGTTTAGATATTTGCCTAACTTGAAATAAAATAATTTTTAAAAAAAACAAAACAAAAAGAAAAAGCAAACCATGATACCCTGGATTTCTTCAGACTGTTACGGTACCCTCCATGAAGACCTTCAGGCTCCAGCCTCTGCAGAAGTGATGCAAGGCTGTAAAATAACTTTGTATTAGCGAATTAAGTAGAATTGAGCCAGGTACGTTGGCAGTATTTTTCAAGCTTCCTGTAGCATGTTATTTGGAAAGGCAGTGGTTAAATAGAACTAGCAAAATACAAAAAAAAAAAAAGTGGGTGCTGGTATGTGTCTCTTTTCATCTGTTAAATAAAATATGAATTGTTTAAAAGCAATTGTCACTGAGCATTTAAATTTATGTTTGCATTCATGATGAAAAAGAAGTGACTGGAGGTGTTAAGTCTCAGAAAGGAAAGTTGAGGATCAATAACTGATTTTAAAATGCATGGCTGTAAGCAACTGGAGGAAGAAACACATGTGTATTTGTTCATGCTTTAGTTAGTTCACTTGTGTTTTGAACTGGTGCCTAAATATTTTACATGTCTCTTTTCTTCCCCGCAGCCCTATGATAAATTCAGCAGTGCATTTAACAGATCAGCACATCAACTTCAGATCTTTGACACCAGCCAAGCAGTCTGAATCAATTAATCTGAAAGCCTCAAAAAGCATGGATCTGGGTAAGCAGGGGTGGGGTGACAAACAGGTCAGCTTTTTAGCCTTAGCCCGTCTGCACCAGCTCTGATTCTTGCTTTTGTTTCTTAAACACAAACATCAGCGGGTAAGTTCTGCAGAGGAGCTCTGGTGATGGGGACAATGGTCTGCCTCCTGTAGCATCTAATTGCAAGTAGCCTGTGTATTGAAGCTGAAGAAAGGTTGTGGATTTCTTTTTTTATTCTTGAAGGCCATTCTATCCATTGTATTGAAATTTTGGCTGAAGAAAAGAGGGAGCGTTTCTAAAAATGAGCAGAAAGAATTGCTGTACATGTTTTATATGTCTAAAAAATACAGCAAAACAGCAATAACAAAAGTCATTTTCGTCTAGAATGTAAATGATTGTGAAACTACACTGGACAAAAGCTAACTGTCCTAAGACAAGTTGTATATTTCTTCATTGACAATGACAAACACAGGCAATCAAAGTGTTGCAGTAGATCTTTATAAATGCTTGAAGAGTGGTAAGGTTATGGTCCTCTACCCATCAACACTGCAGAAAATCTTGCAGGGTGGGTGAAGCAGAAAGTAAATAGTTCTTTCAATACTGGGAAAGCATTTGTGGGTGGAGGATTGAAGGGTTATTGCAGTTGAAAACTGAGTCACGTTTTAATGAGAGTTCAAGGAAAAGTTCTTAAGCCTCAAAGAAAACCAAATAAGCTTTTATTTTTCATTTTAATTATTCTTTATGGCACTCATTCTTTATCTGTTTTTTTCAAATTCAAGTGTTGATGGAGTAGCTTTGATACCTACCATTAAGATGTCTTTAATCATAGATTTGTCTGGGTTTGAGATCAGATTTTATACACCATTGATACAAAACTATTAATTTCTTACATAGTTTCAAGGTAGCTTTTTGGTGGTGCTGATCTCTTTCCTGAAATGCTCTAGATTGGTTTTAGGATTTGTATGGTTTATTGTCATCTTAATGTAGTATTTTAATGTAACAAAGTGTGTGTACTCCGCTAATGGAGTGTAAGGAATGCCAAGCCTGCATTAATGCAGGATAAGAATGGATAAGAATTCATTTAGGGGAGTTCTTAAGGCAGAATTTTAAAGCTGCTGCCTGACCAGACCAGAAATTCATCCTTTTGCAGTTCTGTTCCACTGTTTTCATGAAGAGTAATGCATTAGATTTTTTTTTTTTGTAGGAATGGAAAAAGCAGTGAGTTTACAGACTTGGGTCAAAATGCATATTTATGTAGTCTACTAGAAAAAGTAACGTTCAACTTTATTGAGTCGTCGTTTAGAAAGATTTGCTTACAGCTCCCACAGAAGTCACTAGAAAGAATGTGCCACAAGCACCAATGTAAAGTTAGGCAATGGGAGAGCACTTGAGAGCATATTCAGAACTGCCACGTAACTTGTACTTGCTTCTGTCCTGGTCTGTGTTCATTTATGTTGTGAGATTCAAATTCATATAAGCAATCTGCTCTTGACACCCAGAAACAGTGCTCTGAGAATGTATGTGCGTTGCTAAATCATAGTAGTTAAAAATTGAAATAAAATTGGGTGCAAAAAATAAAATAAAATTGGGAACGAAGATGTCTTGAAGATCTTTCAAAACTTGTTGCGTGTAGAAGGTAGCGGTTGAAAATGCCCCTTCTGCTATGAAAGTAAAAAACAAAAGGAATAATGAACAGTTTGATTGGAGGCACAAATGCTTTATCCTTCTCATCTATGGTGTTGTGAAGGTAGATCTATTACCTGAGATGATAATTTGAAGAACTGGAGGGACTATGAAAGAACTGCACCCATCCTGTGTTATAGAAATAACAATAGATGAAGTAAAATTGCTTGCACATAGCTTGGCAAATGAAGAAACTGAGGAGGATGAAAATTAGGACCTTTTGTAGTCATTCTCTAGCAAGCAGTGAAGTGCCATGTTCGACTTTCCACCATTTGAAAGATTTTTAAACAGAAGCTTCTAGCTGGAAGGGTAAGAGGAAAAGAAACTTGAAAATCTTAAATGAAGTAACTGCAATAGAAAATGCTTCTAATGCAAATAAAATTCCAATAATTTTGTATATAAAACAGTGCTTCCAAATAGAGCATTCATATAATGCGAACTCCAAAATTAATTTTTGTTGAAGGACAGTTATTTCTTGGTTTATTTTTGTATTCCATTGACTACTTAACTTCGACATAACCTGTAGTAACTTCTCATCCCAACACGCAGCTGCGTCCCCATTATTGATTTCAGTGCATTGTTTGCCCCAAAAAAACAGAGAAGATGGGAAGTGCTGCTGTCTTCATCTTCCAGTCCCAGAATTGAGGTTGTGAGAAAGATTTGTTCAGCACCACAGAGAAACTGTACAGCAGATTTGGGAGCAAAGAGGAGGTGTCCCCTATCTGAAAATGCTTATGTAACTGCTAGACCCTCTTTTTCCAGTAGTCATGGGATGCTGTCCACTTACGACTTTTCTTTTGTTTTGCCAATCCCTTCCAAAGTAAATCTGACACAATGAACAGAAAAGTCGCAGAACTGGAGTTCAGAAGGAGAGCTCTGAGACCTTCCAAAATGTGACTTTAGATGCAGTTCCTTTCCTTTTAAACCAAGTTGTCTCTGAATCAGGTGTGTCTGCGGATGTGGAAGACATAACCAGCCTTACAGGGTACAAGGTCCAGAAATCACCTGGATGTCTCTTGACCAGAATAACATCATGAACTCAGTGGACAGTGGATCAGGTGTAATACAGGGCATAAATATGAAATCTGTACTGCTAATCACTTATGAAACATTCTACTTTACCTTGAAACATTTGTAATGCAGCCATTGCCTCACTATACGGGAACAATAATTATTATGGGGACAATCTTTTTAGTAGAGACAGCAGTGACAGGATGAAGGGTACTGGTTTTAAACTAAAACAGGGTAGGTTTAGGCTGGATATAAGGAAGAAATTCTTTACAATGAGGGCTGTGAAACACTGGAACGGGTTGCCCAGAGAGGTAGTGGAGGCCCCATCCCTGGAAACATTCAAGACCAGGTTGGACAGGGCTCTGAGCAACCTGATCTAGTTAGCGGTGTCCCTGCTCGCTGCGGGGGGGTTAGACTAGATGACCTCTAGGGGTCCCTTCCGACCCAAAACTTTCTATGATTCTATACGATTACAAAGGCATGGATTATACGATTACAAAGTCATCACCATCAGAAGCATCATCAAAGGCAGATAACAGAAAATTTTAAGCACAAGAGACCTGAGAATCCAGATATTGCTACGTATTGTGAATCTTACGAGAAACTAGTAAATTCATTAAATTAGGGAGCTAATGAAATTGTATAGTAAGGGTCTTTCTGGCTTTGATGAGGGTTGATGTATACATAAGAAGTAAATCTGTTAAGTAAAGACTAGTCTATAATTACATAATTTCACAATGGAAACCCATTTAACATTGAAGTTTATTTTTTCAGTTTTATATTTTTAAGCCCAGAAACCTTTGCATGCTTAATCTGTTTTCCAACTGTATCTGTTTACAAAATAATAATATTATTATTATTATAAATTAATATCCTTAGTGAATAATATCAGGAAATAGACTGCTAACATATTGTATCAGTTTGTCACTGTCACTCTCCAGAGCAAATCTTGCAATGAAAGGAACTTGGCGCATGCAGCAAGAGCTGTAAGTTACTTGCCAGTAGGGCAGATATGGTTTAGTTTATTGACCTGACTTATTGACTTGTTGGCGCATTTCTGTAGTGTTGATTGGACAGATAGACAGGAGCAGAGTGCATGAACCCCTGCCGCCTGGTTGTTTAGGCAGGACTGCATGCTGTCATATGTATGTCATGAGTCATATGAACTGGCACAAGTCTTAACTGCCAAATTCACGAATAGCATGAATCCAAAAGTAGCATTGTCTCGAGTTTGGTGTATTGGAAGAACTCAAGTTATTTGCAGATGAATTAGTTTTGGCTTGAATCCACTTTAAAAAAAAAAGAATAATCAGTGGCATGTGTGAGTTACTGAGTTACTGTTGTAGAAATTAGGAAAAAAATGCAAACAGGCAAGTGTAGTGGTACTGTGATAATTTCTTTGGTTTTGCAGGCATGAGCAGAACCGCAGAACCTTGCCTCTTACGTACAGATGTCTTTGCACAAAGTGTATGAAGGCAAGGTGACTGCATCCCTGTTTTAGCATCCATAGTTCACACAGGGGTCAAAGGCTTCTCAAAATTTACAGTTTCAATCAAAGTAATAGGATACAGATTAGTTCCATGTCAGCTGCAGGTCCTAATGTTCTTTCCTGCTGCTGTGTTTGGATATTGACGGCACTTTCTGGATCACTGGTAGAGCTCGTATCGTCTGCCTTGTCTGGTTTTATTTTGAACTGCTGGTGACAAAAGAGTACAGCCACCCCTTTCCTTGCTGATCCCGGCATCTGACATGTCCATTCAGTTGCATAAATTTTTTTCATGATAGATGATGGTGTTTGAATATGTTAGCAAAGAAAAGATTCTCCTCAGGCTGTGATTTCAAGAATCTGTGCAGGGCCAACCGAAGTCTGACTTAGAGCGCGTGCCTATATTGACCAAATTTAGACTGCGTGCCAAGTTTGGACTTGTGCTTGTAGCACAGTGTTAAAAGTCAGCAAAACAAATTCAGAAATGCTAGAAATACATGTCATGTTGTCCCTTCCGCTGAAGTGGTACACTGTTTTTAAAATTGATGGCAGTTTGAAAATGAAGAAATCATCAATGGCTTCTATACAAGGCATTGGAAGGATGATTTTCCCCTTCCTTTAACAACCTCCTATACGGACACATTTTTCCATACATTTACCACAGTTGTCTAGGGAAGAATTTCTATATAATAATTCTTCAGAATCCACTTCAGTAGTGTTTTTTCTTCCTTGTAGCTGTATTAAAAAGGTATTTTTTGTGGAGAATGAATTGCAATATGGATTTATTTTTTTTTTTAAATGTTGTTTTGGAAGGTGAAAATCAGTGTGCTCTAAGAAAA